CGGGGTTCTCCTTTACAGTGGTTTAAAACTTACCTAGAAAATAGAAATCAACAGGTGCGGGCGAATGGTGAGGATTCTACAAATCTAGCAATAAGCAGTGGAGTACCTCAAGGATCAGTATTAGGTCCAATTTTGTTTTTATTATTCATCAACGACATCACAGACTTAAGAATAAGTGGTAGAATTACTTTATTTGCTGATGACACCAGTGTAACCTGGAATAATTCTAACATGCAGACATTACAATCTATCATAAGTGAAGATCTAGTGACTATTAAGTCCTGGTCTGATTCGAATGGACTTTGTTTCAACACCAGTAAAACTGTAGCATTGTCTTATAGAGGTACTTTACAACCTATAACTTTAAACAATAATCTGATCCAAACGGTGACTTCAATCAAGTTTTTAGGTCTTTATATAGACGATTCTCTAAAATGGTCTGCTCATATAGATACCTTAGCAAAAAAATTATCCTCCGCATGTTTTGCCATTAAATCGGTTTCTAAAGAGCTGACTCCTTCTACGGCATTAATAACCTACTTTTCCTTATTCGAATCTCACCTTCGCTATGGTTTACCTTTCTGGGGTTCTTGTAGCTTATACCTTTTCGAATCTATTTTTAAACTGCAAAAAAGAGCAATCCGCTATGTATTTGGTTTAAGTAGTAGGACACATTGCGAAAATTACTTCAAAAATTTCAAAATTCTAACCCTTCCTGCTCTATTTATTTTCGAATCCGTCTGCTTAGTTCGCAAGCACATTCAAAATTTATCCGAAAGACCGACTAGTAGATATCCTACAAGAAATTTAGAGACTGATGTTTATTTAACAATGCCCACTTCTGACCTATTAAAACATTCCATTACCTACAATGCCAAAAAATTGTATAATAACCTTCCGATGCAATTAAAATCTATAAATACATACGATAAGTTCCGAAGACTGGCTAAAGCTTTTCTTCTAGAAAGACCATATTACACAGTAGCAGAATTTTATAACGTACCTTAGACATTTGAGTTCCACATACAATGGCATTAATTAAATAATTAAATAATTAAATAATTAAATAATTAAATAATTAAATAATTAAATAATTAAATAATTAAATAATTAAATAATTAAATAATTAAATAATTAAATAATTAAATAATTAAATAATTAAATAATTAAATAATTAAATAATTAAATAATTAAATAATTAAATAATTAAATAATTAAATAATTAAATAATTAAATAATTAAATAATTAAATAATTAAATAATTAAATAATTAAATAATTAAATAATTAAATAATTAAATAATTAAATAATTAAATAATTAAATAATTAAATAATTAAATAATTAAATAATTAAATAATTAAATAATTAAATAATTAAATAATTAAATAATTAAATAATTAAATAATTAAATAATTAAATAATTAAATAATTAAATAATTAAATAATTAAATAATTAAATAATTAAATAATTAAATAATTAAATAATTAAATAATTAAATAATTAAATAATTAAATAATTAAATAATTAAATAATTAAATAATTAAATAATTAAATAATTAAATAATTAAATAATTAAATAATTAAATAATTAAATAATTAAATATTAAAGTTTAAATTTAAATTTAAATTTAAAAATTAAATTAGAATAATTATAATGACGGATATTGCATATCCATTGCAATTGTTATTCCTATTTTGTCTGTTTGTTTTTTCTGCTGTTTAGTTATTTTTATAATATGTTTAGTATTTAAGTTACACACTTTGTCTATAAAATTTTTGTAAATTTTTTTATGACAATAAAGCATCTCTCTCTCTCTCTCTCTCTCTCTCTCTCTCTCTCTCTCTCTCTCTCTCTCTCTCTCTCTCTCTCTCTCTCTCTCTCTCTCTCTCTCTCTCTAAGTGCACCCCAGGGCCGCAGAGTAGACTGCGTTACCAAAACTGGCGCCTGAGCAACCCTTGTTCGAAAAACAGCCTAGCGCCACCCCAACCCCTTTTCTTTATTTTTAGAGACGAAGAAAAGGGTCTCACAATTGCTAATCTGCCCCTTTTTATAGTGAGCGTCGACTTCGTGGTGATTTAATCGTTTGTTTTTTGCGCTATTAGGCATATGTTCGGTGTCGATCTTTCGGATTTATTTGTATTAAATAATAACCTGCGCTTACGTGGGCACATGTTCAAATTAGGAATTAGGAAAAAACCTGATACTGTTGTATGTGCACCTTCAGTTAACTCGTTTAAAAACAAATTTGATTCCTTGGGCTAAGTATGTACAGTTCATCAAATTTCTAGAGGCTTTCGACGGCTAGACAGAGAAAGCACTACTGACAGGCATCCCGACGGATTTACGCAATGAAAGTACACTCTGCGCATCAAGTATTTCACTATTTCATTCAGACGTAAATGTCAGATGTAAATTTCGCTAAAACATTTCTTTTATTTTCGTTTGTATTTTTTGCTCATTACAGTTTAATAGAACCTAAGTATGGAGTTTAATAGCAAATTAAGAGGCCGTGTGATTAACAGTCAATCTCGCGAAATAATAGCCAATGTTATAGAGTTTATGAGAAGAGAAGGAAACTTTAATTCACCTTCAATACCATTTAAAAAAGTAAATGATCGTGTTGCTGCAGCCACAGGAGTATCTAAAAACACTGTCGTCCGCATTTCTGGAGAGAAAAAAAGAATCGATAACCGTGAGATATCGGAATTTTCATCACCAAGAAAAACCATTAAAAAACCAAAAACAGTTAATGATATAGATGAAGCTGCACAAGAATCAAATTTTATTTTTTTATTGTTAGATAGCTATTTTTGTTTCTGAGTTGTGTTCATTTACAGGCTCAATTTTTTTCCGTTTCTCCTTTTTGATTTTATATGGGGTTTCAAGTTGTTTTTGACTTATTTCGACGTAAATCACAACAACACACTTTTTTAATAAAGCAAACAAGTGTTAAGAGGTATATGTACGTGTAAACTACAATTACAAAAAATTGATATGAAACCCATGAAACCACCATCAAAAATGTAAAGCTAGCTTCCGTACTAGAACATGGTGTCATTCGTCGAGATAATTTATCGTTTTGTTTAATAGATCAAGAAATGTAAATATTCCCCTGTTATTTTTTATAAAATTATAAGAGAAATAATTTTTTTTCTAAATAGTATAGTTTATTATTTTGTAGAAAAACAAAATTTCGAAAATTTTAGTAATGTTTCAGAAACAACCGTTATTAATAATAGGTACCATTTTCCTTAATAAGGTAGAAATAAAATATAAACTATTTCCACGATTTACAAAGGCCTTTAAAAAAATTATAGGTATTTTCCGCTATCCTATAAAATTTATATTTTCTGACTCAATTTCAAAAGGTTGAAGGAATTCCAAAACACCTTTTATGGCATAATAATTATTTTCAATTCTACATACTATCTTTAGCTGCTTTTAAAAACGTTCTAAGAAATCAGACCAATTTAATCCCTAAACTATTCCACACTTTTAAAATTTAATTACCTAAAAATATTAAAAACTATTTAAAGTAACTTGTTTAGCAGACTGTACAATAGCTATCTTAGTCACACGTAGTGCGTTCTCTGTCTGGGCGTCGAACACCTCTAGAAATTTGATGAACTGTATATATCTGTATAGAGACAATAAATTATAATCACAACAAATTAAGTAATGTAACAACGTAATTTATTGTCTTTATACTTTAATTTTTTTTTTAATATCAATTTATAGTTACAGTTTATAGATTAAAAAAAAACTGTTTATTTTTAACCTACATTGTTTTAATAATATGAGCATTTCAAGACGTTTGTTTATTCATTGCGGTTATATATGCGAAGGCACCAAATCAATATTTGTGCTTTTTAAAGAGGTTTAAGGAATATGAAACTGTTGACAAGAGGATCTACAAAGCAGCCCTGAACATAGTCAACATATTTAGTACTTGTCAGAAGTTGTTATTATATCATTCTTGATGATGAAGTTGATTAACAAACCAAGGGAAATATTGTACTAAACTTACAAAGAGAGAGTTTGTATGATCCTGGGAAGAGATACATTCCATCGAAAGAAGATGTGTCTGATTATTTGTATGGTAATTAGGAATACATTTATTTTTTATAATGTTTTCACTAAACCGTTAATAATACTGCCTTATTTGTTGTTGCAGCAAAATCATTAAGTGATTTTGTGTCTGTCAAGAGTAAAAATTTATTTTCTCGATTAAAAATTGATGAGAACTTCATCCAGAGACCCGTTTCTACGTCGGACGAAGATGTTGCCTATTTAGAGGTAAAAATAAAAGATCTCTCCTTAAGGGCCGTTAATGATACAGCTGAAAGGGCTGTAAAACTTATGCAAGATTTTCATGGTTTGATCACTGCAAAGGAAGAACAAAAGCAATTTTTGCTACGCTGTGTGCAAGAGCATAGAAATCTATATCCAGACAGAAAAAAGAGACCGTCAAAAGAAATTATCCTGCCCGATATGTAATATTATCTTTTTTTAATAAAGTACCTAATCTTTTAGATTATAATTTTTATAAAATATATATTTCAATTGATTTTGATTTCTCCTCGGCTTTATTAGTCATTTTATTCTAACACGCCATATAAAATTTCATGAAAAAAATGTTAAACGGTTTAAGAGCAACACCCTGTAACTTTTTGTGTTCACAATTTTGTAAATAGGTAAGTGAGGTTCAATTGACCTATTTTTAACTCAAGAACATGTGGTATAATTTATGACCAATCTTTTTGATACACCCTGTATAAAAGCAATGTACTGTAGTCATTTTCATTAATTTTTTGCTAGTTATTTTTAAAGGCAACGGTATACCTTATTGATAAAGATTTATAACTGACATAAGATGTAATTTAAACCAAATATGGCCTAGAGAATACAAACATCTTATAATTTTTATAACCTATAGTTAATTTTAATCAAATTTTTACCGAATATACCCCAATCGACTAATAAAAAAATTAACCTACCTGTTCTAGGAAAACTTATCAACCAAATATCGTCTTTACGAATTGGCGCATCCAAAATTGGCTGCATATAATTTTCAAAAAAAGACGGCAGCAAACATTTTCCAGGATTAAACTCCCATAAGGCATTCTTTATTCCAAGATGCCTATCGGTTATTTCTCCCCATTTTCCCTCCAATGGTTTCTTGCTAACGGATTGCATTTCACAAACTAATCTCTATCTTAATGCAAACTGCAAACTACGAGGATACTTTCACTAGATTTCTTCGCATAGTGTTGTGAGATATTTATCGAAGAAAGAAGAAAGTATATTGGATTTGGTAGAGTGGAGAGGTGCATTTTTGCAAATTGAGTCCAATAATGCATTTATTATGTAATATACAAGGTGTACTATTATGAATTGCTAGTGATGGTGTAAATTCAATAATAATAATAATAATAATTTTTATTTACCAGAAATATATACATTCAGATACAATAAAATTCAATAGGAAATAAAATGTAAATAAACAAGAAATGTGTCACTGAATCTGCTCACTGTACAAACTACAATGACAGATTGTGTGCGACAAAAATACGACAAAATAATAATAAATAAAACGTATAACTATAACAATACAATAGTAAGAATTTGAAAATACGAAGCAAAGAATAAAAACACAAATTATTAATATAAATAAAAATTATATAAATACAATCTTTTACACTTCTGATATTATATTAAGTAAAATTTATTTACTGATGAATAATGTGGAATGGATTAAATAAATGTATTTAATCAACGACTGTTTTATTAAGTTTTCATAAAGAACAAAAGTGAATTGCACTTTTATTTTAACATCAGTTTTACAAGTAGTCGAAAAAAAAAGTGACATCAGACAACTGACAGAATACAAGTGACATCAATCATAGATCATGAACTAACTAGACATTAACAAATATAAGGGTAGGGGTTACAAAGATACAAGCGAGAATTATATTTAACATTTACAACATACCTCGGCATAAGCACAAGAATAAATAATAACCAGAAGGATATATCCGATCATGTGATCTTTGAGGGCTCGTAACCTTCAAGCACACCTACACCGATATTCTACACCGAAAGTGCAGTAGCGACCGGCGCGGGCGGTGGTATCGAAATCGTGAATTTATAATTATTATTATTCTGTTGTTTCTGTTATTTTACTTAAATATTTTTATGTGTGAGTTATGGAAGAAGACAAAAATAAAGCTGGATTTGTTTGTAGTTACAAAGTATGCAAAAATAAATCTTATATCGGTGCACATTCATTTTACAGATTTCCTCAAGATGTTGAAAGGTAATATAAATAAAGTATAATGTACAGGGTCATTCTATATGGGCGGAACACGATTTATGGCTTAACTATGACTTGTACGATAATTTGACTTAGATAAAAGTTTATGTACATTTTATGTAATGGTTTTCAAGATATGACGTCATCGGGCAATATTTTAAACGGATCACCCTGTATCTATATTTTTTTTTCGAGTTCGTATGATCTGTCTGAATTAATCAATGGTACATTAAGTGGGTCCCAGACTTACGGTCTTATAATAACAATTAAATTACATTATACTTTAATAAGACACATTTATTTAAAGTAAATGTTCAAACTGAAAGCCCTCGGCTGCCTGGAAATATCCTAATCTATCAACAAATGATCTTAAACTGTTTTGAATAGATTCAGGAATTATTTCTTGAGTGGCCGCTCTGATTCGATCTTCCAGTTCTTCCAGAGATCGAGGTAGATCCTTATAAACTACAGATTTTAAGTGACCCCAAAGAAAATAATCCAGTGGAGTTAAATCTGGTGACCTTGCCGGCCACTCAATATATCCTCTTCGGCCTATCCATCTCTGCGGAAATATTGTGTTGAGGTATTCCCTAACCCTAACATCGAAGTGAGGTGGGGCGCCATCTTGCTGGAACCCTATTTCCTCTGACAATTGTAAATGATTAGCACGATTGGGAAATATACGAATTAATTCTTGAACTATTTGTACTAGCAGAAGTTGTAAATAGCGATCACTACTTAAAGCTTGTCTCAGAAAAAAAGTTTCAATTATTCTTCCTCCAACTATACCAGCCCGAACGTTTAGCTTTTGTGGATATTGTGTGTGACCTTCTATCATCCAGTGTGGATTCTGATCAGACCAATACCGGCAATTATGCCGATTGACAAATCCGTTTAGACAAAACGTTGATTCGTCGAAAAACACAATATTATTCATAATGTTGTTCCCATTAATTCGATCCATCATTTCTTGGCAAAACTGCATTCGTCGATCAGAAATTAAGTCAATTTATGTTCACGATCTTTTCTTCACAAATTCCCATAGCCGATTTCTCAATTGAAATCTTTTTCTACCCTTGTGTTCCAATCTCCCGTTGCATTGCCTATAGACTTTTGTTTCACATCTCAAAAACACTGCAAGTACTCTTACGAGGGGAAATACTATTCTCTTGGTGTTTGTAATCCTGCCTTGAAAAAGTAGTTGGCACCTCTAAGGAGCCAGGTATCTGATAACTGAATTTAAAATGGCATCACTGATAAGACAGGATCGGTATAAGGTTTCTTGTCCATCGATTGATTCTGTTGATTTTAAGTAAAACAATAATATATAATGTATTATTTTTAAAAAGTTTTATTCTTAATATTCATTATAACTAAATTAATATAATATTGCAATCTATAATGGAACAAATATCTACTTAGTATTTAAATTATTTCACTATATTTATTTCTTTTTGATGCTTTTGCAAACCCACTCCATCCCTTCGCGAACTCCAGTCCCTTGAATTGCAGTACACGCTTGAATTTGCCATGAACGGTCTTTAATTGTCGGCAGCCCTAAAGTTTGAGCTAGTTCTGCAGCTGACAGGGAGTCAGGAATATCTTGCTTGTTGGCATATACTAAAAGAGGTACATCTTTGAGTTTATCATCGCTCAGAAGTTCATACAGTTCTATACCGGTTTCTTCTAACCGTTTTTTATCTGCTGAATCGACGACGTAAATCTGAAAAATAAGAATTTTTGTTTTACATGTAAGTTTTAATTATGTAAGAGTAGAAAATAGTAGAAAAGAGTAAAAAACAAACAGTAGAAAACAGTAGAAAACAAACAGTAGAAAACAAACAAACAGTAGAAAACGGTAGAAAACGGTAGAAAACGGTAGAAAACGGTAGAAAACGGTAGAAAACGGTAGAAAACTGTAGAAAACGGTAGAAAACGGTAGAAAACGGTAGAAAACGGTAGAAAACGGTAGAGAACAGTAGAAAACGGTAGAAAAGGGTAGAAAACGGTAGAAAACTGTAGAAAACGGTAGAAAAACGGTAGAAAAGGGTAGAAAACGGTAGAAAACGGTAGAAAACGGTAGAAAACAGTAGAAAACAGTAGAAAACGGTAGAAAACGGTAGAAAACGGTAGAAAACGGTAGAAAACGGTAGAAAACGGTAGAAAACGGTAGAAAATGGTAGAAAACGGTAGAAAACATTATAAAACGGTGGAAAACGTTAGAAAACGATAGAAAACTAGAAAACGTTAGAAAACGTTGGAAAACTGTAGAAAACGGTAGAAAACGTTAGAAAATGGTAGAAAACGGTAGAATAAAGTAGAAAACGTTAGAAAACGGTAGAAAACGTTAGAAAACGTTAGAAAACGTTAGAAAACTGTAGAAAACGGTATAAAACGTTAGAAAATGGTAGAAAACTGTATAAAATGGTAGAAAACGGTAGAAAATGGTAGAAAACGGTAGAAAACTGTAGAAAATGGTAGAAAACGGTAGAAAATGGTAGAAAACGGTAGAAAACGGTAGAAAATTGTAGAAAATGGTAGAAAACGGTAGAAAACGGTAGAAAACAGTAGAAAACAGTAGAAAACGGTAGAAAACGGTAGAAAACGGTAGTTGGAAACAGTAGGAAACGGTAGAAAACGATAGAAAACGGTAGAAAACGGTGGAAAACAGTAGAAAACAGTAGAAAACGGTAGAAAACGGTAGAAAACGGTATAAAACGGTAGAACACGGTAGAAAACGATAGAAAACGATAGAAAACAGTAGAAAACAGTAGAAAACAGTAAAAAACAGTAGAAAGTAGTAGAAAACAGTAAAAAACAGTAGAATACAGTAGAGAAAACTGTAGAAAACGGTAGAAAACGGTGGAAAACGGTAGAAAACGGTAGAAAACGGTGGAAAACAGTAGAAAATAGTAGAAAACGGTAGAAATCAATAGAAAACAGTAGAAAACAGTAGAAAACAGTAGAAAACAGTAGAATACAGTAGAGAAAACTATAGAAAATGGTAGAAAACGGTGGAAAACGGTAGAAAACGGTAGAAAACGGTAGAAAACGGTAGAAAACAGTAGAAAATAGTAGAAAACGGTAGAAATCAATAGAAAACAGTAGAAAACAGTATAAAACAGTAGAAAACAGAAGAAAACAGTAGAAAACAAACAGAAAAAAAAAGTAGAAAAGGGAAAATTTTATGCAAGTATTACTTTGTCATAAAAATAGGAAATGGAAAAGAAGCAAGCTCATTTGCTAGTTTTGAAAAAAAATCGATTTTATTTTTGTAGTTAAATTTTCAGTAAGACTTTTAATAGTTCTTTTAATACTCATTGGTTTTCTGATTGGCAACTTGTGTTTTTAGCAAGAAACGTCAATTGTGCATAATGTCCACATGAATACTTGGATGAATTTAAAATAAATGTTAAAATTATCCACAACTGTAAAGGATCACCGCTTACGGGACTAAAAAAAAAAAAAATGTAGGCATTACGTTCTAGAAAGAATTTTTGCAGTTGTAAAAATTTTATATAGACAATGTTCAACGTTTCAAGGTTCTTCTAAAATACTGTTCAAATATTATTACATCTTTTAGTCTTATGATAAGAGAGCACAGTATTTGAGGGCAAAACTCACAAGTTCTTTAAAAATTACCGATTATATAGGCCGGTAATACCCAAAATGGTCTTTATCGAACCTCAGAAGTTGACGATGACCCACAGGGGGTGAAGGAAAAATATAAAATAAATCAGACAAAGACAGGCAAGAAGTAAGTAGAAAAAAGAGTAAAAATTATGACATTTGCAACTAATATAAATTAAAAGGTTATCGGGTCAAAAATTGTCAAAATTGGACAGTCGATAGAAGACCGTCTATTACCAAAATCACTAATAATAATAATAATATATAGTAATGTAGCAGATGCAACCGTATTTCTAATATCTATATGTAACGCGATACATTTGGCTGAATCAGATT